CCATTCTAATAAGCTTTTAAAAAATAATTGTTAAAACAGTTACATTTCAAATTACCAATGCAGCAATGTGTGAAAAGATGATACTAAATTCTTGATTTATAATGAGGAAATCAAATGAAACTATGAACTTGTTCACTGTCCCATTGGTTTGTGCATATATTTCCTGGTTTTGTTTGTCATCCGCACTCAAGATGCATTGAGGTTTACTTAGCCTTTGCTGGTGGTAACACACGGTGTCTATGGAAAGTGGCTACGACTCTTTCCATAGGCTCATGCACAATTGCAAGCCCTAGTCAAGTTAGCCAGACGTAGCCAATGTCTGACGTTCATTACATCCAGAATCTGGTCAGCCTTGGCTCTGAATAGCGCCCCCGTGTGGTTGGATCTCGGTACGGTGTTATTTAGGGAGCATTAGGCCAAAAAAAAGAAGTCTCCGGTTTCTGGTATGCGCGCGCGTCGCCGTAGCCATGCGCGTCGGCAAATGAAAAAGTTTTTTATTCAATGAAAGATGATGTCTCAAAACCGCCAAACTCACTGGTTTGACTGGAATCCTGCTGCTGCACAATTTTAACATGCTTTTAGATTGGGTTATGGTCGAGAATAAGCTTTATGTGGCCTCTCTGGACTCCCATATATTTGCACTAAGTTTAGTCGGGCACCATTTGCAGTCATCAGCCGACATTTGAAGCAAAAAAATCAGGTAAAAAAAAAAAAAAGCCGCGTCGCCGCACCACTTTTTGGGCAAGCTCCATACCAGAAACCAGAGACTTATTTTTTTTGGCCTTAGGCCTGTTTTATTTTGTCAAACTGTAGGAGCCAAAAAACCAAAAAAAAAACACTCTGCAATTTCATGAATTCGTGATCCCAAAACAGATTGAGCAGAATGAAAGTTGTATATTCAGTAATTTGGGAATGGTAATTTCATATTTGGTTTTAAGGAACGCATTTTTGACCTGGCAAGTCGGCCATTCTATTTTCCATGGCAGGATTTTGTAGTTAACCCTATTAATTTTGTCAAAAGTGATTTTAGTATTAATTTTATTTGAACCTAGTTCTTTTAAGACCTTTTATAGTTACGAATCTACCCAGTTTAGCTTAATAATTATTCTACAATCGATCATCCATTGCTTTGTATTACATTTTACTTTGTTTTATCTTGGTTTTTAAATATCATTTTTGTTTCAATTTTACAATATTTTATCCCACTGATAAGCACGTTTGTTTACTTATTTTGCTTTTGGCGACGACTGGACTGTGGAAAAAAAACCACCTGTTCTTAAGCTTTGGGAAGTATAGCTGACAGACCATAGCTGTGCAAGTATTATACTTAAAATTCACGTCACAAAGTTAGGTTGGCAAAGAAAATGTATCTAAGGATTCCTGCTAACAGATATTTTGGGAACCCTTTCGCTGGAAATTCTCTCTTTTGCTTCCTGTGCTTTTGGCAGTGTTTTTTGAAGGACATTTATTGACCAAGTTATTCCTCCATGGTCAGACCTGCTTTTATGTGTCGCTGCCAGTGTGATACAGAAAACTGCATACCGTGGAACGCCGCTAAAACGAACACCTACAGAAATTGTTCCGATCGTTCGGTAGAGCGATTTTGAGCTGCTGGTGCTCCGGTACTCACTTTTCAATAAATGGCGCCCTTCAGAAATTCACCCTGCACGCCCTGGTACCCTTACTGAAAGACGACTTTGAACATGTGCTGACTATTGAATTATATAATTACACAGTTCTTGAGCTTACTACCTACATCGATGGGTGGCTTTCCCCTTCTATGCCTTGGGGAAATAATAGCCACTTGTTGCTCTTCTGTTGACATTTTCCAACAACAATGTTCGGTACGTTTTTGTTCACAAAAATCTGAAGCCAAGCACGATGTTCGGTACAGCGGAATGTTCGGTATAGCGGTGTTCGGTATAGCGACGTTCCACTTTTATGATTCTAGCTGGTTGCGTCCTTGGAGTAGCATGGTGGCCGTGTGCCTGACTATCGAATAAGTTCAGGTTCCAGACTAGCGCCCTAATCAAAATAATGGCATTTACCAAACTCTGATTTTTGTCTCCAGCTTCGGCTTTATCGCTGGCTCAAGATTCATTAATAGTCTTCCACATTCAAACCTGATGCAAATACACCAACCCTTGTCCTTACGTGATAGGATTTGACCAGAAAAGTGGCCAGCATTGCACTGCAGTCTGTCCAAATAAGATTCTAAAGCTGGAGCTTGAATCCAAAGCTGGAGTCAAGCCAAAATCTTGTAAGAGTCTGTGGAGATTGTTTTTGGATATACTTGTCGTGCATGTTGAAGTAAAAACCAAAAAGTCACTCAATTATGGCTTGATAGCTTGAGGCCCGTCTCGATATATATCCAGGACGAGTCGGACAAGTTGCGGGTAGAATTTGCCTGGAGTAAAACTTTGCATTTGTCCCTGACAGATTCCCGAGAAATTTTCTTTAGCAACTACTTGACTCGCCGATACTGATGACTGCATTGCGGGAAGATTGCGGGGAAGTTGCTCAGAATCCTGCAACTTTTACCCAATCAAATGTCCGGAACTGGTCCGGAACTCCCGGATGTGAAATGAGACGGGCCGTTATTGTCGGTGTTTACTTTTCTGTTGTTCAAGTTGAATTGTAATTTTGAGTGTGTGTGTGAGAATGCAATCCCACTGACTTGATATTAAAAGTAAGTTTGATTTTTAACCAAAAAGAACTGAAATTTAAGTAAATTGCGTGATCTCAGAAATATAATTGAATACTACGGGGATCAAATCCTTACATCAGGAACAAATCATCCAAAGATTTGTATTATGCATATTTGTACAATAGAAGTCTTCATATTAACTAAATCGTTAAAAGCATTAACTCCTAAAACTTTGATTGCATCCATAAATCGGATTTCAAACTCACTTTGTTTGAATATACGAAAGTATATAACTGCTGCATATAGCACTCTTAATTACTTCTATTAGTGTGTAATAATGGTCATCTTCTTTATTGTGATACATTGTGTATATATATATAGCAACATCAATTGTGAAGGGTTCAGTTATTTTAGTATGGTGTTAATAGTTGGATGACAGTAATCATAATTTATTATCCATTTTAATTTTAGCTCCTCTATATTATCAATCACGCAACTTAATTATGCAACGGCTGTTTCATAGTCGGATATATAGTGTATGTGGGTGCATTGAGTTCCTAGTATTCCGAGCAGTTGTACAAAATGTGTATATTTATTACTGTGATTCCTTACATACTCTACATACTTATCAGCACATAAAGGCACTTGCATATGCTATCTGAGAGGCTATACTACTGAATTATTGTGAGGGCATTTTATAAATTAAAAATTACAGGGTGAGTAAAACAAAAACGAAACACAAATGTCGGGGCTATTGTTTGAGTGAAGTTCTGCATGTAGCACTTTCAAAATCTAGGATATGAAAGCCCAATTCAGAAGCTTTCTTTTAGTACAAAAATCATTCAAATCACTCATGTACTTTTCAAGTTACGGAATTTTAAACACAATAACTATTTTAAAGTTCTGTCCACGGATCACAAAAAAAGGTGTGCGTTCTTTCAGAAAAACAGACACAGTTTTCGTTTTGCTGAAAGAACAGTCTTAACCCTGATGTGATCCGTGGACAGAACTTTAAAATGGTGGTGGTGTTTAAAATTCCGTAACTTGAACATTACATGAGTGATTTAAATGATTCTTGTACTATAAGAAAGCTTATAAATTGGGCTGTCATATCCTAGATTTTGAAAGTTCTACATGCAAAACTTCACTAAAACAATGGTCCCGACATTTGGGTTACTTGGTGTTATTTTTTCACTCGCCTCTATTCTATCTAAGTGATTTGACAAATGTTGGCTGTTATTATAGAGCAATAAGAAGTTTTAAAAAGAGGCAATTTTAAGTTTCTATCCACATTTACAGTACACCCTAATGATGAGTTTTTCACCGATCTAGGATTATATTCATCATTCTTTAATATGGTTGGGAATGCATACATGTAGTTATTTCTGCTAGTGCAACTTCATAAAATCCATGGTGCCGCGAAAAAAATATGACCATGCTCTTTTGTACAAATCAAATCCATGTTTAAACCAATGAACAAATAGGTCACAAAATATCTTAATTTTAGTTTATTTTAGTACCAAAAAAAAAAAAGTTGACTTTTACCACCAATATTGTGTCTCAGAGTTAAACTAATAAGACTTCAATTACATGATTTAAATTACCTCAACAAACTACAGGTGCAACATCGAAATTGATATTTTTCTAAAGAGCATTTTGCAAAATAGTTTTGTATGCTTGCATGAAATTACTAATTATACGAAAGTCAGTGTAAAGTGCGGCAGTGGAAAGCCAGTTAAAACGTTTCTACACCACTGCTGGATAATGAAAGGAGTGAATAACGTACACATAACAAAAACTACTATTGTAATTCTTACGAACTTGGGTGATGGTATTTTTTTGGTAAACATGTACAACGGTATTTCGATATATTCTATGCAAATTGAATCATGCACTCTATTTTAGTATTTTATCTCAGTCATTTTTTGTTGTTGTAATAAAGTGTACTGATGTAAAGAAAAGGAACTATATTTTGTGGAATCGGAGACATTCATCGAATAAAATGGCAGTCATATTGAAGAAATCTGGGCATGTTTAAGAAATCCGTCATTTTTGTGGCATGCGCATCGTGGTCAGTGACACACCATTAGTGCGCTAGCAGTTTTCAAATGTACAATATGATTAAAATTAGCATATATCTGTCGAATAATAATAATAATTACTATATAATTCCTAATACCAACGTTTATTTTACCAGAAAATACTTTGAAAACCTTGCACAACTTTCTGAAAACAAGTATCCGCGAAATACTACTTTTTGGGGATTGCTGCACAAAGGAAAAACTTGATTCACATGATGAACTTCTACAACCTTAAACATTGGTCGTTTTTGTTCGCGTTCCTATGAAAGTGATCAACTGCCTTCTAATGGAAAGAAAGAACAAGATCTAATAATGAATTGATTTCGGACTCACCTTCAAACCAGTCTCATCAGAGTTCAGAGAGATTACATGTCACAATATCGATATTAGAAGAGAATGCCAGTATGCAAAGATTGTTGTGAGTCGAACCAACCCTTTTTCCAAAGTGGGTCAAATCACGATGTCGGGCGCAAGCCGAAAAGCAACTCCAGAATGTTTCGGTACCGAAACGATAGCATTCAAACCTGCCGGCCGACCAATGAAGTAGCCATCTTTCATTCAATGGTACCCGTACAGCAAAGATTGTGGCCGGACCCTTGAACAACTCTTTCTAAAATTAGGCGGCATTCAAACCTTTCTTTGATGACACATCAAAATAGCTGGACAGTCACTGTGCTGTGGTTAGAAAATAATCCCTTCCAGTCAAGAGCCAATACATAAATGTCAAAGCCGTTTTGATGCAAGTAAAGACACGCCCTTTGCTGTAACATCTGTGAATTTGTTTTTCACGGCGAGTCGCTGACGAAGCGCCCGTTTGCGTTGGTTTGCATACATCGTACGGGAGGCTGAACAATCTTCTTGCAGACAGGATACTTGGTGTGTCTTTTGCAGGACCCCGACCCCCCCCCTTCCCTTCACCCATTATGAGAAACCTCACACACTGTTTGTATCCATTCATTTTGGGGTGGCCCGGTGCCCAGTTGTAGAACTTGAGTTCCTCAGTGCCACCGGAGCACACGAGTTCTCCATCAGTAGACACACGGTAGCAGCCAAGCCAAAGCCCGCGCTCGGGCATAACCCTTGGCGCAGATCGTTTCACTACCATTTGCCAGACGAAGTCATTCTCAGCCCGAGAATGAGGTACGACCAGGCTGCTGCCTCTGTCTTGGCAGAAGTTATCGGCTTCCGTCCAAGACATAGGTTCTTGGAAAAATCCGTAGCATGCTTGGTTCCACTGCTTCCAGCCCGAAGGACAGGCACCCACCCCAGTCGAAAATACTGCCACGCCGAGCGCAAATGTCATCAGAAACTCACACCGACCTGCCATCTTTCTCAGTGTGGAGAAGTTTAGTCTCAGTGGTATCGAGCAGTTTCTTTACCCGCGTTTGTTTGATGTCTGAGCGGTTTGAATGAAGTTCGTGCAGCTTCAAATCAGTTCAGATAGTGTGTACAGTTGTACAGGTATATGGTGTTGAATAATCACAGAGGGAATTTGGCCGTGTAGGCCTATAAAATTGCACCAATTTAGCCTCGGCCTTAGTTCTTCTTGCTGAATAATATTATTGCATCGTACGATTCGTCATATATAGCTTTTGTTGTTGCTACAGCTAATTCCCGCACGCACACGCAGGTTCACATGGCAACGGGGAAGAAAACAAATATGCTAGATTTAATTTTCTGCATCAGCAGTTATTGAAGTCTAACCACGGATCCTAGACACCAGGATAAACGACTGTTCTGAGCTCTAGTACAAAATGCACTCAGTGGACTTGCCTTAATTGGTTAGACGCGTGATAACGGGCATTAACATCCGTTGGCGCGTAATCGCGAATTTTCAAGATGTGCCATTGTGTTGGGTTTTTGCACGACATCTAAAACGGAAATATTCATAAAACTGTAAGTAAAACTACTTCTTATTTAAGATATAATTGTTCCAAATTATTTAAAAAATAAATACTTCAGGATATAACAGATGGTATTGTGCAGTTTTTGTCGTCATAGATGAAGTATTTACCCGGGAAACTAACGTCAAATTTCGAGGGGAACACCGTTTACCAAAATTTCGTTTTTATTTAGGCTTTTATTAAAAAGTTTTAGAGAGATATAGGATGCCGAACCGATGAAACAAAAGCGACATTTCATTGTTCATCTTAAAGCTAAAGATATTGTGCTCGGCATTGCCATGGTTATGCAGTTATCACTTATCAGAATTCAATAATAAAGACCAAAAAAGTAGACTCATGAATATTCAAAAATATAATTCGCTGGCTTGACAGACTTCGAGGCCAGATCGGGCGAAGAGCCTTGCAAATCTGAAAGCCACCGCGCGCAGTGGTCTTTGTTGACAAGTATTCATGGTATTTGCCACCAGTACTGGCCGTTATCACTATGGCGTGTCAAACGTTGCAATATTCAATATTTTGCAATATATATGTTGGATGTTCAATATGTGTTTGTTATCTGTTACATTTATGTGCGATGTTCAATATAAGTGTGAGATGTTTTTCATTATTTGCGCGATGTTTAATATATTTGTGCGATGTTTTACAATTTATGTGCAATGTTCAATATGTGTGCGATGTTTTACATTTATATGCGATTTTCAATTTATATGTGCGATGTTTTTGACGATATATATGTGCGATGTTTTCAATATTATGTTCGATTTTTTTGCATTAAATGTGCAATGTTTTTTGATACAATTGTGTGTGTTGTTTTAAATATATTTGCGATATTCTCAAATATGTGAGCAATGTTTTACATATATGTTTGACACTTCGAGCTATTTGTATCCGATGTTTCATCGGTATGTTTGCATTCGATGTTTCGCAATATGCATTTGATGTTTCCCTTTTCATTCGATGTTTCGTGAAGAGTCAAAGTCTGGTTACTAGACCGCGAAAGTCTGACTATTTTGCCTAAAGTCAGTGTATGAGACGTCAGGGGATCGCGTAATAAATTGAAAGGGGTTAACCTTGCATTTTTTTATAGAGAAAATGGGAAAAAATCAAATGTTTCTGAAAAATTGCAGATTGTAAGGGGTTAACCTTGCTTTTTGAATAAGATTGAGAAAAATTAGATGTTCATGAAAAAAATTCAAATTGTAAGGGGTTAACCTTGCATTTTTTTTTTAGCAAAAAAGGACACAATCAGATGATTTTGGAAAATTGCAGATTGTTAGGGCTTAACCTTGTATTTCTAGCAAAATTGGGCAAAAAGAAATGTTTATGAAAAATGTTAAATTGTAAGAGGTGTACCTTGTATATATATTTAGTAAAATTTGGCAAAATCAGATTTGTATGAAAAATCTAAAATGGTAAGGGGTTAACCTTGCTTTTTTGGCCAAATTTGGAGCATATTTTACTAAAATTGGGCAAAATCAGATGTTTCTAAAAAAATCCAGATGTAAAGTTTCCGCAAAAACAGCTGCTGAAAAAGAGCCCAATGTTGAACTTTACTGAGTCTTAGGTCTATCGAGGGGACGATCCTTATTTCAACTTCCGGAGATTCGCTGACGGTCTCTATTTTTCTTTTTAAGAAAGTCGAAATAGCTGAAGAGGGAGGTGAGAATCTATATGTGCCCAGATACAAAGAGTAGAAATCTACGCGTCTGCCTTTTGAAAATACACAATTGCGGTGTTCATTGTTGCGTAATGATCCGCCTAGCACACGACTGTTTTGCACATTAGGCTGTGTTATGCAGCTTCCTAACAAACCAAACACACTGGGCTCATTATATCGACTTGTTTGTACCCATTAAGGTAAAGCAAATGGACCCAGTAATCTTCCTGGCGCGTTTGCTCACATATAAAGACAACTTTTCTCAGTTTAAGGAAAATTCTAAGGTAACGAAATGGCCGAGTGGTTACGATTCGTCGTCCACGGTTAGCGGGGTCCCGGGTTCGAATCCCGCTGGTGTCTTTTTGGTTTTTAACGTATGAGTTCAATTATTCACTATAAGAGATTTAATTTCCCGTCGTAAAGTACCAACAGTACCTTAGCTTAATTGGTAAGCACTGCTGCTGGTACTGTCCGCGAGTTCCAGGTTGGCGCCTTCGTACAGGTTCAGGGCATGTGGTCCACTCGGAGGATCAGGGCTTAGGGGCCGCCCTGTTCCTCCCTTAGCTCTTTGCTTTTACATGGTGCCTGGCCCTCCGGGGTTATATGGATGGATAGGGAAGGAAGTGTGTATTGGTCGGGGACGCCGAGACTCCGGAAGAGAACTAAGGGATCGGCTGGGGCATTGTTATGGCTCAGACCGATCCCTGAAAGCTTGACTAGCACATAACTTTTTGATTTTTTTTACCCTCTATCTTTTATACTTTGGTTTAGTTTGATATCTACAGCTGCTCGGCAGGTCTACGGGTAGTATCAAAATTGAAATAAAGGTGTATGTCATAAATCAATGAATATTTCATAATTGACTATCATTATTTAATGACGCGATTGCCAATTTACGTAAGAAACGCTATAAATTATACCGGGAAAGAATACAGATGTACATTGTAATATAAATATTATTTACACATCTTTCAAATAACGTGTCTTTAATTGTGAGCATTCCAAACAATACAGTTTTTGGCAATAGTAATAGAATGGTATACGATAGCACGATCAATGCGTCTCTATTTAATTTAAAAAGATATAATTTAGGCCCCTATGTGTGAAATATTCTTTGATTGACAATGAGCATTCCATACGATTGAGTTAATTCGCAAAATATAGCAACAACAAAAGAGAAAGGAAAAAGAGAAAATTCCTTTACCCTAAAAACTGGAAATATAATTTGTTTTAAAAAAGTCAAATGGGACACTTCATGTAATGATTTAACAGTTTGCAAGGAGTTAGCCTTACATTTTTAGCAAAATTGGGAAAAATCAGATGTTTCTGGAAATTTGCAGCTTGTAAGGGGTTAACCTTGCATTTTTAGTAAAATTTAGATGTTTATGAAACATTTCAAATTGTAAGGGGTGAACCTTGCATTTTTTAGCGAAATTGGGCAAAATCAGATCTTTCTGGAAAAAAATCAGATTGTAAGGGGTTAACCTTGTTTTTGTAGTAAAATTTGGCAAAATAAGATGTGTATGAAAAATTTCAAATTGTAAGGTGTTAACCTTGCTTTTTTAGTAAAATTGGGAAAATTTAAATGTTTATGAAAAATTTCAAATTGTCAGTGGTTAACCTTGCTTTTTTAGCAAAATAGGGCAAAATCAGGTGTTTATGGAAAATTTCAGATGATAAGGGGTTAACTTTGCAGTTTTAGCAAAATTGGGCAACATCAGATTTGTATGAAAAATCTAAAATTGTAAGGGGTTAACCTTGCCAAATTAGGGCAAAATCAGATGTTTCTGGAAAATAGCAGATTAAAAGGGGTTTACCTTGCCTTTTCAAGCGAAATTGGAAAAAATCAGATGTTTCTTGAAAATTGAAGATTGTAAGGGGTTAACTTGGCATTTTAAGCATAACTGGGCAATATCAGATTTATATGAAAAATCTCAAATTGTAAGGGGTGAACCTTGTATTTTAAGCGGAAACTTTACATCTGGATTTTTTATCTGATTTAGCCCAATTTTAGTAAAATATGCTCCAAATTTAGCTTAAAAAAGCAAGGCTAACCCCTTACCATTTTAGATTTTTCATACAATTCTGATTTTGCCAAATTTTACTAAATATACAAGGTACACCTCTTACAATTTAACATTTTTCATAAACATTTCTTTTTGCCCAATTTTGCTAGAAATACAAGGTTAAGCCCTAACAATCTGCAATTTTCCAGAATCATCTGATTGTGTCCTATTTTGCTAAAAAAATGCAAGGTTAACCCCTTACAATTTGAATTTTTTTCATGAACATCTAATTGTCCCAATCTTATTCAAAAAGCAAGGTTAACCCCTTACAATCTGCAATTTTCAAGAAACATCTGATTTTCCCAATTTCGCTTAAAAAAGCAAGCTTAACCCCTTTCAATCTGCAATTTTCCAGAAACATCTAATTTTGCCCTAATTTGGCAAGGTTATAACCCCTTACAATGTTTGATTTTTCATACAAATCTGATTTTGCCCAATTTTGCTAAGAATGCAAGTTCAACCCCTTACCATCTGAAATTTTCCATAAACACCTGATTTTGCCCTATTTTGCTAAAAAAAGCAAGGTTAATCACTGACAATTTGAAATGTTTCATAAACATTTAAATTTTCCCAATTTTACTAAAAAAGAAAGGTTAACCCCTTACAGTTTGAGATTTTTCATAAAAATCTGATATTGCCCAGTTTTGCTAAAAATGCAAGGTTAACCCCTTTCAATCTGCAATTTTCCAGAAACATCTGA